TATCTAAGTGAACTAATACATTTGTGCATTGACGGTGACGTAGCAAAAATATTACTTCAAAATAGAGTTAGTGTTCTTGCAGTACAACAAACATACAAATAAAAACGTGAACCTAATTGTATCGAAGGTTTTCACCTCAAACTGATTAAATTGAAGCTTTTTTCCTTGATATCACAAGAAAAATCTCACTGCAATTACGATTTCCTGTATTCTTGCCTGTTCCACTCTACCCACTCAAACTTTTCAATGGCGTCATCCTGCATTTGTAGTGCCTTCCTATTATGCTTTAGGGGACATGAACATGCACGTCTAGTAGTAAATGTTAGTTTTCTTTTGAAGTCTGTCCATCCCAACAACTCCTCCAAGCATTTCTTTAGGTCAGGGACAGGCGACCTTTTCACTGGCAGTGATCACACGGTCAACAGAGTAAGACAGTTCAAGTGTTGATATTTTCGTCTTCTTCTCCTTGTGGCACACTGACTTACGTTTGTCTCCATTGCACGATCCAAAAACATCCATGATTGACGCAACCTTTCCAGTTTTCTCGATCTTGTCACTTGAGTCTCTGCTTTCCATATTGATTGGTATCTCATCGAGGTGGTCTTCGTATCCGCTGTCCTCGAACATGGCGAAGCTAATTCTAAAAAGCTTTGTTGGTGTGACTTATCACTGTCGAACGAGTCCCCGAATAGGGAATTTCTCGAGAAAGATGGAATAATTTCTATTGAAAATGTTTTCGTCTTCTAAACTTGGACAAGCTTTTTTTATCGTATTTTTTTTCTATTTCAGGAATGGAGATGAAACAAAATAAAGGGTTGGGTGTGTGTGTGTGGATTTGTGCTAATTGAAATCAAACAAGTAATTGCATGAAAAACTAAGCCAAATTCATAGCATCAAAAATTGAAATCACAATGCAAATTTGAAAATAGATGCCAAGTTCATAGCTTCAGAAAAAAATAAAAAAATCACGTTGTATATTCTAAAATAGAGGCCAAATTCATAGCTTACACAAATGCAATGACAACGAAAATTCGAAAATAGAGGCACAGCTTCAACTAATGAAATCACAACGCAAATTCAAAAATAGCAGTAGTAGAACAATGTCACAAGGAAATCAAGGTGAACATAAGGTCCATCTTTCGTTGCCACCATTCCTATGAGGCAACAATTCTATCCATTATGGAATTTTATTCTATACCAATACGATGAAGTAATTCCTCTAGGCTTGCTTATATTTATGGCGAAGAGCATTCCAATGATGTTTCAGCTATTGTTTGTTCCAATCGTGCCCGAAGTTAGAGTTGAACGAGAAAACGAGTCTATCTCGACCGTGTTTCGTAAAGCACTTCCCATTCCGGTGTCCTTCGGCTGTGACAGTCTCAAGGTAGCAACAAAAATATTGTTTTCAACTGAATTCCATTGCGCATTCTTTCGGGACGATGCTTGATTATGAACCGAATTTGTGTTGGATGTGGACAACATAGCATAGAAACTTATATGTGGCAATGATTACGCCCAAAGAATAACATTGTAGTTGTAGCACAGTTTTGGGGTGTCGTATCCACAGGGAGATGGAAAAATATTTAAAGGATCAAAAATGCTGAATTATTCTTTCAAATGTGTAATAAAATATAATGTTGAAAGGTGAAATTAAAATCAATTATTCGAAGCAGCGAAGCATCGAAATTCCCTCAATTGGATTGGATCAATCATATCAATTATTCATTTTTATAACACAATTAGAGGCTTTCATCTGACACTCTAATTAGAAGATATATTATGAAAATTAATTTAATTTACAAATGTAATTCTAGAATTTAGGTTTAAGACATATTCACACAATTTCATTGGAATAAGATCAAAGATCGACCATATACATGAAGCATAAGGCTATAATCAATCTGCCAATAAAGTGAAATTGAGATTAAAATTCAACAACTAGTTTAATCTAACGATAAAAGAAGTATAAATTGATCTATGAAAGATATAGTAATTGTTAAACCATTCTCAATAATAAATAATTGAAATTGAAACTCAATAAATAGTTTGATTGAATAATGGAAAAAAATGACTGAATCCACGAAAAATCTTATAAATATTAAACCGATTTCAATATAAATTCAAGAGAATGAAAATCTAAATTATAAGATTGTTTGACAATGAAAATATCAAATTAAATGAATAAAAGACATGAAATCACCAATTCCAACCGAGTTCATTCGTAGCTTCATCAAGGGTTTTAGTTCTCCATGAGTTTCTTGAACCAAAGAGGAAAAGAATGGTGTATGGAGGCCTCGTCCTTGTGTATTCTGCTGTTAAGTATTTGTAAGAGTCAGAAATTGGATGAAAATTACGTCCAAATTGGTTTCCAAAAGATTTCTAATTGAATAAGGAAAGTTGCTTCGCGTGCGGATTTTTTGTCTCTACACAGCAGTCAATAATTTGGTTATAACTTTCTCTTCCTATATTCGATTTAGACGATTCAAAATGAATTAGAAAGATAACTCAAAGAGATGAAACTTTGTTGGAAATAGATATTTTCCAATTCGAACTTTTACTATGCCAAAAATTGATATCAATTTTCGACTAAAAGTCTGAAATATATCTTGTGCGAATTGGAAATTGATTTTGATAATATTCCATTCCTTTTTGACTTCTAAATGCTTCCAATCGACCCTTAGTACTCTCGAACCTTCATCGTGAGCCTCGACATAATTTTTGAGTATTTGCACTTTAGTCCCTGATCTTTCATTTTCTTACATTTTGGTCATTTTTCAATTGTTTCTCCTTATTTCTGCTACATTCATCACTTGTCCTGTAAAACATGAATTGCATAGAATTAAGCTATATTCCAACATATTAATCAACAATTGCTCATATTTTGACAGTAAAATAAGTATGTAAAAACGTACTTATCAGGCAACAAACGGGAAAAAGGATTTTACAAATGAACTTTTCGATCTAACGACCCACGTGAAGAACAAACCACAGAACATTGAAAGAAATGCTAACACTTACCGGGTGAAAAAAAGGATTCATGGTGTTTTCGTGGTGTTGGTATGTGATTCCAAAAAATCGACAATGGCTCTCAAAAGTTGTGTCGTAGATGACATTCGACCGTGTGAAAATCAGAGTCTTCTACATTGGATGTGATGCCGAAGCACATACTAACGACTTGCTCAACGGCTGATGACAATGATGAATAGCAACGATATAGTGTTCGGGATCTCCTCCGTGATACTTTTTTTTGGATAGAGACGGTAGGCGAGGAGAGGAAAGAAAATTGGTAGTTGAGGTGTGCAAAAGTGAGGGCAAAATTGGAAAGTAGGATGTAAATGCTGTTACAATTGTCTGAATATTTGTCAACCAATTTTATATAAAAAAAATCTCTACATACATTTTCTAACGGTCCAAAATCTGATTTTAAGCATGCCTAGACAGGGGCTCAAGTGAATTTTAACATAATCATGGATGGTTTCCATCCAATTGGACTGACCTACACCAAATTAATACTTCAAGCACCTGAATGCTTCAAAAATTAAACCGAGAATCAAGTGCGACAATGGTATAGTTTGGGGACTGCAGATGAAAATATTTCGTAATTTGAGAAGATATGNGTGTTAATTGGAAATTGATTTTGATAATATTCCATTCCTTTTTTACTTCTAATTGCTTCCAATCGACCCTTAGCATTCTCGAACCTTCATTTTGAGCCCCGACATAATTTTTGAGTATTTGCACTTTAGTCCCTGATCTTTCATTTTCTTACATTTTGGTCATTTTTCAATTGTTTCTCCTTATTTCTGCTACATTCATCACTTGTCATGTAAAACATGAATTGCATAGAATTAAGCTATATTCCAACATATTAATCAATAATTGCTCATATTTTGACAGTAAAATAAGTATGTAAAAACGTACTTATCAGGCAACAAACGGGAAAAAGGATTTTACAAATGAACTTTTCGATCTAACGACCCACGTGAAGAACAAACCACAGAACATTGAAAGAAATGCTAACACTTACCGGGTGAAAAAAAGGATTCATGGTGCTTTCGTGGTGTTGGTATGTGATTCCAAAAAATCGACAATGGCTCTCAAAAGTTGTGTCGTAGATGACATTCGACCGTGTGAAAATCAGAGTCTTCTACATTGGATGTGATGCTGAAGCACATACTAACGACTTGCTCAACGGCTGATGACAATGATGAATAGCAACGATATAATGTTCGGGATCTCCTCCGTGATACTTTTTTTTGGATAGAGACGGTAGGCGAGGAGAGGAAAGAAAATTGGTAGTTGAGGTGTGCAAAAGTGAGGGCAAAATTGGAAAGTAGGATGTAAATGCTGTTACAATTGTCTGAATATTTGTCAACCAATTTTATATAAAAAAAATCTCTACATACATTTTCTAACGGTCCAAAATCTGATTTTAAGCATGCCTAGACAGGGGCTCAAGTGAATTTTAACATAATCATGGATGGTTTCCATCCAATTGGACTGACCTACACCAAATTAATACTTCAAGCACCTGAATGCTTCAAAAATTAAACCGAGAATCAAGTGCGACAATGGTATAGTTTGGGGACTGCAGATGAAAATATTTCGTAATTTGAGAAGATATGAATTTGACCCAACTTATATGGCATGTTTGGTTTACTTTAGAAAGTCAACTTATATGAAAATGTTTTCACTTCTGTATAGAAAAAATGCCAGTAAATTCTAAAACAGATAATTTCCTACAGAAAGGAAGAATTTCTTAAAAATAAGAATGGAAAAAAACTTACTTAAAAGTAAAACCAACTTTACTTGCAATTAGCTTAGCCAAACAAGGTATAAACAAACAAAAAACAATAGACAAAAACGGTGTCCCCCCAGATTCCGGAATCATCTAGGGCAAAGCCCCCTCCTTCCTCCTCCTCCTTCTCCTACTCCCCCCACCCAACCCCCCACACTCTCACAGTAGTTACAATATCGTTATTACTATTATGCCCTCAAGCATGGCAACTGAAAATGCCACAAACGGTGATGGAGCCGAACAGCTCAAGCTCCTAGCAAATGAAGCCTTCAAAGGTAACCAATTTATGATAAAGATGTTTATGTTTAAACGTTACTGTTATAATACAGAGTTATAAATTTGTCTGGTGTTAATGTGAATAATTTTTTTTTCAGCGCATAAATATTCTCAGGCTATTGATTTATATACACAAGCGATAGAATTGAATAGTGAGAATGCTGTGTACTGGGCTAACCGTGCTTTTGCACATACCAAATTGGAAGAGTATGGCAGTGCAATACAGGATGCTACTAAAGCTATTGAAATCGATCCAAAATATTCTAAGGCTAGTTTTTATGTTTCTAAATTTTGGAGAGGAAAAGTGATTTTTTTCCCCGAAGACATTTATTAATTGATTAATGCGGTGAGTTGATTTTGTTACAGGGTTATTATAGACGTGGTGCAGCATATATGGCAATGGGAAAGTTTAAGATGGCACTCAAGGATTTTCAACAAGTAGGTTTTCATCTTTAGTTACGTCTTATGCCCTCTTGCGTGTAATTTTTATATATCTTTTACATGCCTTATGGAGCTACTTTGATAGTTCCATTGTAGAAAGTTTTGGTTTTTTTTTTTTTAAATATTTTTGGGGTCAAAAGATTAAATTCAGCGCTCTTTGTAAAGCCTTTTGCTTTCATTATGATACATGTGCGGAAGATTATCGGCATAGCAATATAAAACATTTTTCTTTTCCACTTTAATCTAATAAACTACAAGACCCTTTTTTGAAGTAGTAAAGAATACCTGTTCCCACATCTGTTGAATAGTTTATTATTTATTTAGGTCAAGAAAATATGTCCGAATGACCCTGATGCTGCCAAGAAATTGAAAGAATGTGAAAAAGCTGTGATGAAACTAAAATTTGAAGAAGCTATTGCTGTACCTGAATCAGAAAGACGTTCAATAGTTGATTCTATTGATTATCGTGTCATAGGTATGCAATCATAATTATTTTTTCTTATAGTTATTTATTTATTTATTTATTAGCTCTGAAAGGTCTAGCTATTTCTTCAGTGGAATATGGTCTTGTTTCACCAGCTCTGGGTATTATATTACTTAGCCTTCATTTGGCAAAATTTATGAATCATGTATTTATAAACGTTCAAACTTTATTATCAACATGACATTCTAATGCTATTCACTTATTCACCACTCATTTCTCCCTATTTATAAATTCTTCCGAAACGAAGTCTCAATAAAATTTCTCCCTGTTTGTGAGTTTTCCTGCTTTATGTGTGTTTACTGCCTGGAAAATTGTTTAAATGCATGAATGGAATGGGATATAAAGTTCCATCAAACTTTCACCTGGTGTTGCAAATGTTTGTTTTTATTTTTTAACTTGTGACGCAAATTTGCCTGTGATAAAATGATATTTTACACTTGACAAGCAGGCCGCGTGGTTACTAAGTGTGCATCATGCCAACTTTTTTCACAAAAATCTATCCCCCGGAGTTATAATTCTGTTCATCATTATTGTGTTTTACTCTCAAAGAGATTTCAGCATGTTCTAATTATTGAGGCGGTATCTGGAAAATGGTAATCTTGTTTGATGGTTGGGGTGCAAGAAATGGCTGAGACATAGGAATATTCTTATTCAAGTGATCTGTAAATAGTAACATGGACAGGTTCCTATTAGTTTATGATTTAATATCCATTATTTCTTTCTGTGAAGGTTAATAGGTCTAGGAACTTAATTTGGATATAACAGCATAGCTTGCATATTAATGATGTTTGTATTTTTGTGTCAATTCTAGATGTGGAACCACAATATGCTGGTGCAAGAATAGAAGACGATATTGTTACTTTGGACTTTGTGAAGAAAATGATGGATGATTTCAAGAATCAGAAGTGCTTACACAAACGGTGCTGGCTAAAGCTCAGTAGTTTGTTTAATGATGCACTTTTGTACTATTCTGTAATTTGAAAATTTGGATGTAGGTATCTGCAGGGATACGTGTGGTAAATTATAAATTTTAGTATTCCATTTTATGGCCCAACCCCAATTTAGATACAATATACAAAAATCCTCTTTGCAGAAATATTTCGGGGCTGCTTGAGTGGGTGACTTTAGTAGACCAAGGTGCTTGCTTGAGCGTGTTTGTATATTCCACCAAAATAAATTGTAGTTGTGTCCTTATAATAAAATAGTAATTTCTTGTGTTCCAAACTCTTCAAGAAATGGGGAAAAAGGGTTCATGTAGCTGATTCCAAATATATAGAGAATAAGACTTGGTCATTTGTCGTTGCATATTTATTTGAAGAAATTTGTATTTCAATCTGAAAGTTAGTTTTTGTGATGTAGATATGCATGCCAGATTGTTTTGCAAACAAGAGAAATGTTGCAATCTTTGCCGTCTCTTGTGGACATTAATGTTCCTAATGGGAAGCACTTCACTGTATGCGGTGATGTACATGGCCAGGTAAAATTGATTCCTTGATTCGATGTCAATCTTCCAGGCGTATTAAGGCGTGGATTCAGTTCTTTTTCATTCGTGTTCTATAGAAAATTCAATTCAATAAGTCATATTTTTGTGCAGTGGACAAACATTGTGTACTTTCCGATGCCAGCTAATACTGCCAAAATGTATGCATAAAAAGAATATGTACGGGTATTTAGAGACATAATTCTTAGAATATAGTGTTTGTCAGCGTCTAAAGCCTATGGCTAGATTGGGGAGACCATTTTACATAGCCCTATTTGGGCTCCATTTTATTGTGTTTTTGGGAGAAAATGTATTTTGGAATAGTGATATTTTGGAGAATGTGTGGTGAAAAGATAAGGAAAAGTTTGGGTTTACATGCAATATTATTTTATGGAAGAATGTGTGGTTGAAAATGAGTTTTGGAAAAATGTATTATAGAAATAATGGAGCTCAAACAGGGGCTATATCTTCTGCTGTTTCATTATTAATTAATTTTGTTGATTATTTGGTTTAGATTCCAGCATTCAATTGATCTTTGATTTAATGACATCCTGAAGAAACCATATGATGTGTCTGACTATTGCTTCTTTATTTTATGTACTCAACTGTGTATTACCAATTTTTATCTTAGTAACCATTGTTACATGGTTGCAGTTCTATGATTTATTAAATATTTTTGAGCTCAACGGACTTCCTTCTGAAGATAATCCTTATTTGTTCAACGGAGACTTTGTGGATAGGGGTTCTTTCTCATTAGAGGTCATACTCACGCTGTTTGCATTCAAGTGCATGTCTCCATCAGGTGATCCCTCATTTTCTTTTGCCTTTGATATTCTTTGCATGTGTACTTGTGGTTGCACGTGTCTTAGTAAAATATTAGATTTTGTTTATTGTAGGTAAATATTTGTATGTCTATAGATATTTATAAAAGAAAATGATGTCCCTCTCAATTGACAAGAAACACAAAAGTATGGTGTTCAAACGTGGTAATTAGATTGCCGGTTATATTTAGCCACAGTTTGTTAGGGATTAAAATCTAGATTTTAATCCAAGTCGAAGACAACAATTAATTTTAACAACATATTTTATGGACTAGCAACTTTTCAACCGCACATTTCATCAACTTTTATCTATTAAAAATCTGATTTTAATCCCCACCGAACATAATCATTTTTTTTTATCTTTACCGGTCAAATTTCACATTTGTTCTTTTAATGTGTTATACTTGGTCCGATTTGAGTTAAATGGCAGTTTGACAGTGTTACCTAACAATTTCATTTCATGAGCTAAAATTCTGTGTATGTGTATCTCTTGAGCTGCAAGTTCTATTGGTTGGTTGTGTTATTCATTTATTTTGTTCCATATGCATAAGTGATCCAGCCTTGCAGCCTTTCTCAGAACGAAGCACTGCTTCTTATCAACTTCTTTAAACTTTCAGCTATATATCTCGCTCGAGGAAATCATGAAAGCAAGAGCATGAATAAAATATATGGTTTTGAGGGTGAGGTCAAGTCCAAATTAAGTGATAAATTTGTGGAACTCTTTGCGGAAGTCTTCTGTTGTTTACCTTTGGCTCATGTGATAAACGAGAAAGTTTTTGTGGTTCACGGAGGCCTTTTCAGTGTTGATGGTGTGAAGCTCTCTGACATAAGAAAAATAGATCGGTTTTGTGAGCCTCCTGAAGAGGGTAAGCTCCAACCCAGTCATTTATTTCGTATGTACATTTTGCCTTTCCAGTTACTGTTGCCTTACTATTCCAGAAGCAAATATGATTTATGAATGCAGCATGTAATATTAACTGATACTTACCACTGTTTCTCGTTTTGTCTAAGTCCGTGAAAAGGAGGGCCATCATGCCCTGTTTGTTCTTTTAGCAGTCAAAGATTGATGCTTTCTATATTCTCGTTGATTGAATGTCCGAACTCCTCAAGGTGATACTGGCTAATTCTTGGGGGGTTTAATAACTTGG